CGGTCCGACGCCCCGAGGGGCGTCCGGGGGCCGTCCTCCTTTTTTAAAAACAAAATGCACTGGGCGTCCGCGCGCCCCGGGGCTGGGCACAGACGGAGGCCTCTCCTCGGGGCCGATCCCTGCCCGGACACAGACAGGAAGGACACCCGGCGCCCTTTTCTGCGCCCACATTCCGACTCGGCGACCCCTCCGACGGGTGGCGGGTCGGGGGCCCCGGGGAAGCGGGAAGGGTCCGGGCCCTGCGCGCTCGTCCACCCGTGAACACTTGGACCGGGGCCGGTGATCCGAGACCCTCCAGGCGGCCCGGGGCGTGGAGACGGGCCGGGCGAGAGGCCGCTGGCTTGTCCTTGGGTGGGCAGCTCTGGGACCCGCGGAGGAGATGCCTGTCCAGCTCGGGGGACCGCGCGGCCTGGCCTTGGCCCCGCGCGCGCCCCTTCCGCCTCTGAGCTGCCCCACTCCATCCTCAGACTCCCCGGCGGCGCTGCTCCTCTAGCCGACGCCCAGGGTCGGCCCCTCCGCCAGACCTGGCCCCTGCGTGCGCGGGACGGCCGTCCCGGGCGCCCTGCCCGCCGGGCTCCGGTGGCCCTCGGAGGACAGAGGCAGCCAGGCCGCCGCTCCGCGTCCGCGCCATGCCTCCTCGGGGTGCCCGCCAGGCCGTGAGCCCCAGACGCGGGCCCAAGCCCTTCGGAAGGCTCCGGGATGAGGGCCGGCCGAAGACCCTGCGCCATGGGGAGTGGAAGACCCCCGCAACCCCACCCCCTGGCCCTGGAGATGTGCGGAGTCTGCAGGCCCCGCACTCCCGCATCATCCGGAAGATTAGGGTTTCTGGGCCAGAGGACAAGACATTGAACCGCGGCCTATAATTAGCCACAGTAAGGACCCTAACAGTAATTACCCATCACCAGCTCCGCAGTCACAAGGTTCTGCCTCTGAGTTAAGTCTTTTGTCCATGCCCCACCCCGAACCTGTCCCTGCACACTTCAGAACCCCCGATGGGAACGCTGGGGCTTTTTTCTTGCTTTGATAAAGACGGCAGGGGGGAGGGGAGACACCAAGATCTCCAGTCACAGGAATCCTAAGTGGGTTCCCACCCCACCCCTTCACCTTCAACCCCCAGATCAGGCCGCCAGCAGCTGCCACCGCTCTCCTCCTTACAGCCCATAACCCAGCGCTGCAAGTGAGAACTAGGCCGACCACACCAAGGTGCTGGCGTAGCCAACTGCAGAACCCCCACTCCAACGCAAGGTCTGAGTGAGACTGCCCCGCGGGGGAGGGGCAGGCAGGGACACTGGCCAGCCGCCTGGGCAGCCACACAGATGGCCCACCCACCCGCTGCCCGCTCCACAGCCCTTCCCCCACACCTGCAGGTCAGCTCAGGCCAGGGAAGTGGGGAGGGCCTGCTAGGCCCTACGAGCTGTGAGCTCTCTCCAAGAACCCCTGTGGTAAGAAGACCGGACGCCAGGCCTAGAATGTGCAGAGCCGGGACTATGGCTCCTCTGCTAAAGACCAAGAGAGATGACCCCCCTCCCCCCACCTTGAGAACCAGTTCTGGGAGGTCTTCAGAGTCTTCCTCTTCAGCCCCGGGTCCCAGAGTTCGAACTTAGTGATAGGAGAGGCTTAAGCAAGGGGGAGCGTGAGTGGGTAGAGGGTTCCACAGACTCCCATGCCGGGGCCGGGAGAGAGCCGGGTGTCTGGAAGCCTTGGGCTTCCATCAAACGCTTCCTTACCAGCGCAGCCAGGGACCAGGGAG